TTCGTCCCCCTGGTTACGCCCCTCGAGGTCGATGACGTCGAGGACGCTGGAGAGCATGGTGACCTGATGGATCGATCCGGTTTGTCGTTTGGAGGATGTGTGGTTGCATCCATGTTACGGGTCGAAAGTGGGTCGAGTGAATGGCCGGTCGGGTCATTGCGGGTTTTTGTCTTTGAGTAGGGCCTGCGGTCTGTGAGAGGGCGACTCGAGGGGGGGCGACAGTAGTAGGACAGGTTACCGTGGAGTGGACAGTAGTAGAGGCGTGATGGTGCTTACGGTGGTGCAAAGGGGAAATCATATGCCTGCCGAGTACAAACCTAAACAAAAGTAAGTCTTGAGACGCAAGAATGCTTTCTGAAAGAATATCAAGTGCTTGCCTCTGTTCGCGTGGCGAATTTCAGTTTGTTGGGGACTGGCCATGAATGGGAAGGAGGCCTCCGGTAGGGATGAGCCACTTGTGTCAGCACGAGATAATTAAAATATCCAACTCAAGGTACCGATCGGTAAACCCCAATTTCCAAGTCTGGCCAACGACGACATGCTTCACTGAAACCTCATCATCCGTACTAATAAGTAGGGTTCACCTTGAGCTCCTTGTCAGCGGGCGTGTTGGCGGAAAGGGACGGCGAGGCATTGACCTCTAGCAGCCATGGCTTGAGCTTATCGTCGAACAGGATGTCGTAGCCGTACAGCCCAAAGCAATGCTTGTCGTTGATCATCACCTGAGTGAAGTAGACGCGACACCGCGTAGAAATTTTGGCATTTAATGGGTGGAGCGTTAGCTTACACAAAGAGACTAAGGTATTAATTCGAACGCGCAGTCTTTCTTTGATTGTATTTAGGTTTTCAATAAACTAGGGCACCTGTTGCGACCACGCCTGTTTGTTGGTCGGTCAGTAAGCGATGTTGGTGGGAAAAACGAACGCCAAGAAAAAAATGTACCCACGCACGCGCACAGAACCCGAGCACAGCTATGTACCTGTTGCACAGACAGGAGGCTCCGCAGGATGAGCGACTGTATCTCGTGGAAGAGGGTATTCACCGCGGCTGCCCCATGGAGCGCCATGAGGTGCAGCTTCAGCTGCCGGATCCCCCACTTGCCGCCGAACTCCTTGTCGTAGCTCTCTGTTCGTTTCTAAGTAGAGGGTGGAAAAGACGAGACGTTGTTGAAGGTTATCCGGCACGACGTATCACACCACCAACCTAAGCACGACAGAAAGCACCCAAGGGAGGTCCGTCACGCTCGAAGCACCTCAGCCCCCTTCTTTTGTCTCTTGCTCCCATCCGCCCTTTTCTGCCATCCATGGTGTCTTCCATGGTGAGCAACTGCTGGACTCTAACTTGCTTGTCAACTGCAATTGATGCGTGTTTTTGCTCCATACTTCGCGTTCTACCTGGTTCTCTTAGCACAACCCGACACTCAAAGCGCGTGCTCGCGACTCTATCTTGGAGAATCAGGCCTTCGATCAGTGCAGCAGAGGCGCTGTCTTTCACACCCGCACGGGGATCAATCGCACAAGGCCGGTTCTCAAGTCCTGGCACGCATTAACCGAAGTCCTGGATGCAAGCAAACAACAACCGATATACCATATGCTTGCTCGTCGACACGACTCCTAAGCATGGCGCGCGGGAAGGCCGCGACTCCCTCGCAAATGTAACACGGCACGTCAATGAGCACCCAGAAACAGGGAGAGATACCACTACAGGGTCGACAGAACTACTGACAAGAAGAGGATTCGATCTGGAAGTCTCTCTCTCTTCCATCATCGTGCACGGCGGTGGTCGATTTACCTGTATTGCGATGTTCGTGAGGTGCTTTTCCATGTCCTCCAGGTCTTCCGTGGCATTGGAGTAGCGGGCGTGCGAGAACCGGCAGAACCCCGCGCGGTAAACCCACACCTGCTCATCACGTGAAACGAACACATATTCACCCAAAACCAATCCCGAGACTTCAGCCGTAGGAGGTATGAGTGGGCTTCTATTTCCGCGCTACACCTACGTCCGGTCCTGGTTCTGATATTTGGTCCGCCTAACGCACGTTCGGTCCTTGAACTGATATGTCCCGCAGATGTTACGGCTGTCTGTCGTGTGCACAACAAGTGCTGAGTTGAAAATCGGAGCGCTTCAACAGCCAGGGCGGAGGCGTGCGCACAAGCGTGCGCCCCCCTCCTCCCCTGCTACAAAGAGACTTGGCGTTTGAACGTCTTTGCCCATGCCTCGCTTTTGACCGGCCCTCCTGGCTCATACCAGTTCCATGAAAGATGCGTGCCACCCAGGAAGCAATCGCTCAGGTCTATCAGTCAGTGTAGACTATTGGACTTTTCGTATAGAGAGGAAATGACTTGCAGAGTCGTGTGATATCAATACACACCGTCATGGGCATGTACGAAGTGACGAGGACGTAGAGGCGCATGTCGAACTTGCGCCCCGCGACCAGGTAGGGGTTAGTGACGTATCGCTGCACGACGTAAGTCTCCGGGGTGTCTTCCTTGGTCTTTTCCCACCGACTGTCGGACTTCCACTTGCTGATCTGACTCAGCTTCGTCACGATGAATATCCCTCTTTTCGCGTGATCCACGGAGAGAGAAGAAGACGAAAAAAAAGGGAGAAAAAAAGTCTACATCACGTTAAGTCAAAGAGGGATCTGCGGCGCCCTTAGTAGCAAAATTGAGCGTACATTCGCCCGACGTGGTGCCACCCAAGAGGCCCGCTTACGAGAGGAGGGGAAAATTCATGGAATCTACTCTCCGGTTCGCCGCCCGATCAATCTCTCTCTTGTCTGCGCGACACTCACACACACACTCTGGTTTTCCTTGGGTTGAGCTCTCTCGCGCCGCCTGCATAAACACGGCACACACACCTGCCCTGCGAGCGTGCGATCGGCTTCATGATCCACTTGCTGTTGGTTCTCCTCTTTGATTCCTCCGCAAAGAGCGCATACTCTCCGGGAAGAACGTAGGTCGTCGGCCAGAAGTCGTGCCGATCGGCCTCATCCTGGTGGCCTTCTTTCTGGATCGATCTCTTTCTGCGTCAGCGCGGCGTGGGTTCGTCAAGTTGTACAGCATGTCGAGTTGAAGGGCCGCCGTTATCGCTGAATTGTAGACAAGTTGATGTGCTGTACACCTTAACAGGGTTAACCGAGTAGAGACGCAACCAACCGCGCCAAAAGCGAAGGGTTTCATAGAGAATAAGCCGCAACGCAGCAGGCGTATGGGGCGACGATGGAGAGCCTGCCGTAAGGTGACTCCCCTCCCCGCTTCGTTCGGGGGTCGAAGAATGCATGGTTTGCCGAGATCAACAGCAGTGTAGCGTTCACAAACAGTTTGGATTACGCTTAGAGGCTCGGGCGTATTTCTCTTTGAGCTGTTGCTTCTCTTCGGCACGTTGGGGACAGCTACTGCCCTCTGGAAAAAATTTCCGCTATAAACCAGTATTTGTTCTTCGTTTTGGAAGAAGATTTGGCCTTACTCCCGTGCTGGCCTCTCATATCGACAACACTCCAGTCTTCGACGAAAGTTGTGTAAACAGTTCGCGGTGCTCAATAACGACAGGAAGGTTTAAGAAACAGTTCCACTCGTTCATGTAAAAGTTGTCCACGTGGAGGCCTGCCGCGATCATTTGTACTGCCGCCCCCTCACTCACCGCTTCTTGAGGTTCTTGACCAAGAGATCTTTCCGGCATAACTCTCGGTCGTTCCGAAAGTGGTTGACCCTCTGCCAGTTGAGGAGGTGCCTCGTGTCAAACGTGTCATAGGCGATATCCCTGGGAAAACGACGGTGGTAGATAGCGTGAAGAAGCGCCCTCGTCTAAAATTGTACGGTACGAAGTGTCATTGGGTGTGGTAGAGTCTAGCGATCTTCGAGCAAAGAGTCTACCGTGCTCAATGCAAGCGTTGTAATAAAAGGGACGTCGAATGCATGTGTCTAGTAACAACTCCTCTGTACGGGGAGCACGTTTTATTAACCTGGTACCCGGGTACCTCCTGAACGTCTACGCGTAAGATTGTCTTTGAATCGCCACATCGACGGCACCCCTTAACATTTTACGAACTGAGTGTGTCGATCTTTTGCCCCGTTTGGCTGCAACGAGACGCTGCATTCCAACACCCACGCGTAGATCCTTTGAGAGCAAGAATACAAGAAGAGCAGCCCACAACGACAATCATTCGAACAGGCTGGCCATTGAATGGGGCGAAAGAATGCACAGACGTGCAGAAGTGCCACGTGCTTTCGTACGAAATGTGCGGCTCTAGCTGGCGTACATGTTGAAAATCTAGACTGTACGAGTACCGCCCTACAAGGCGTTGCACGGCCACGTTTTCATGCAGCTAAACAGCGTCGAGGAAACCACTGACCGCTCCGCCCATATAAAGTCCCAGTCCGAGTCGCTGTTGGTCTCCCTCCACCCCCTGCGCTTCATGGCCTCGTAGATTGTGTTTGTGAAGGTGGTCTTGAATCGGATGGGCCCTCCAGGCCTCCCTTGATCTCCCATCCTTACAGTAAGCCCTCCAGAGGGCAAGGGTAGTCGAGAACGGTTCCGATCGGCACCGACGAGGCCCCCTTGCTGTTAAAATTGCCGTTGTGTTCCTGCGCCCTTCTTGTGGATCCTTACGTCTCTGATCCACTTGTTGTCGAGACAGGTACCACGTGGGGTAAGCAACAACGCCCTTTGGTAGATAAGTCTCTGATCCACTTATTGTTGTCGAAACAGATACTACACGAAGTTACAGGCAAACACAAAAGAAAGGTAAGGGTCGCGAAACCGAACGCCACACTGGCAACCCGACAGCAGAACGAAGAACAAATAACAAAGTAGGTGGCCTTTCGAGGCGAGAAGGCACGCAGAGGGGGTTCACCGCCATAGGTGTCGCCAACGACGTCGAGATTGATTGAAGTCGAAAAACTAGGAATTTGATTCCAAAAACGACGAACGTTACATCGCAAATCCCGCCGCGCCAGTCAGTTGGTCGGAATGTCCCCTGCTACAATCCATCAGCATATCAGCATCTGATCGATCGATCGTATGACGACAGGGAGCCTCTGTTTTGGGGTGAGTGCGTTTTAGAGGCAAGAGGAACAGGCCACACAGGCTCAAGGACAAGTTGCCTGCGGGCGATCGGCGATAGCTCAGCAATCCAACACGCTCTTTGAGACCTCTGTCCTACACGTGCTGCCGCGTAGACGTCGTGAGTGTCGTCGCTATCGTCGAGACCCTGCTGCCTGCTGCGCCAAATCCGAGACGTTGAACTACTCTCTATTGACTTGTTTTCTGGTCCCAAACCGCGGCCCCTTTTTTGCTGTGCTATCTCTGCCAGCAGTCGAATCAGCCAGCTCTTGCCTGCAGCTGGACCACACCACGTCACATCGTAGCATATCTGGTAGTCCTTGGTGTATCGCTAACAAGAAGGAGTAACTTGGTGACATTGTGACTGCAACAGCAAAACAGGCAGCAGCACATACCTGCGGCGGCACAACCGCAGCAGCAGAGCAGAAGGCACAGCCAGTAGCAGCAGCAGAAGCTAGGTGAGAGAACCCGGACAGGGGGGGCTAGGAACTAGGGGAGCAACAGCCGGAGCTGGTGTTGGCATGGACGAGGGAGATGGGGCCGCCAGCGGTGATGAGCAGTCCCCCGAAGTCGAGGGTGAGTGAAAGAGGGTCGTTCCCAAATGGGGCTGTTTGAGAGAGAAGGCTCTCTGCGAAGTTGGCCACTGCTGCTGCTGCTGCTGCTGCTGCGGCCGTCGTTTCGTGTAGACCGAGAGGAACCGGACATAGGGACGCAGGCACATGCAAACGTTGATCGCGTGCTTGTGCAGTCCAGGATGAACGCGAGAAAGAGCAGAGAGGTGAATGTTGCCTATCAGAACTACTGTGCCACCACAGGCACATCAGCAAGGAGTGTTGCCTCTCCAATGCTTCGTATCGCCATACACGGCGACAGCAGCAGCAGCAGCAGCAGCAGCAGCAGTATTACAGCGGAAGTCCTGTGTGCCTTGGGACTGCAGCTCGGCGGTCAAGAACAGGAACGCATGGTTGTTTCCGCAACACGTATGCAGTACAGCAGCCTGCAGCTGCACAGCGTGCTGTTGATGGAAGTTCTACTGGTGATTGCCCCTACTACTGTTCTCTTGCAAGCCCATGAGGTGTTTGTGCGTCTCTCCCTCTCTCTCTCTCTCTTTCTCTCTCTCTCTCTCTCTCTCTCTCTGTCCCTCTGTCTCTCCCTCCCTCCCTCCTTCCCTCTCTCTCTGACTCTCTCTCCCTCTGTCTCTCTGTCTCTCTCTCCCTCTGCCTGTCTGTCTGTCTCTCTCTCCCTCTCTCTGTCTCTCCCTCTCTCTCTCTCCCCCTCTCTCTCTCCCTCTCTCTTCCTCGCTCGCTCTCTGCCTCTCACCCGCGACAGCTGTAACGGCTACAGCAGCACCTGCTGCTTGATCGACCCTTACGACCCTCACCCTTCGCCAACCTTCGTAGTTGCGGACATCTGGTTGCACAGTCGACCATTGCCTATTCTCCGTCGTCTCTGCGCATTTAGAAGCGTTGCTGCCAGCAAAGATGAGAGGACGGACGGTAATGTTTTTCTTGACTGTTGCTCGCCTCGTTGCTGTTTCACTGTTTTCTGAAGTAGCAGTGGATGTTGACGCGATAGTGGAGGAGTGCATAGCCAAGCTGCTGTCCGTCAAGTCTCAGCGGCCAGGGACAGAAGTGGCCCTCCCCGGGGAGGACATCGCCATCGTGGTGAAGCGAGCACGGGAGGTATTCCTGGCGCAGCCTATGCTTTTGGAGGTGCGTATCGCTGCTGCTCTGCTGCTGCTGCTGCTTGATTTGTCTTCCGACAAGTGTTGGAATATAAAACAACGCCACCAATACCATTTTTCTTAGCTTGCTGTGTTTTAGAGGGCAACGGTTCGTGTTTTGTCAATTTTGCAGGCATGGGTTTGTTCGTTGATTATGACTTGTCTTCGAACAAAAAACAATAAATAATCAATTCAAGCATCCGAGAAGAAAAATACGCCCCGACATCATAACTGTTGACTGTTTGAGAGTGCACACATTTGTTTTGGATCATTTTTTTCAACGCATCAATTTGTGTGTTGGTTAATTTTTAGGAACTGGGGGTGAGCGGGTTTGGGAGGAGCGAGTTGACCCTTCATAGCCAGCATTATGATACCGCGGTCCTTGTACTTGGCATTTTGGGGGGAGGGAGGTGGTGATCCTTCAAGCAAGCTATCTCAATTGCAATCCAAGACACCCCAAAGGGCAGGAAGTACAGTAGTCCAAAAGAAACCGATCCACGGAAGTTCGGGATCGATCGAGAGACGCTTAACATTAGAGTATTAGAACGATTTCGCACAATTTTTTTCAGGTATTACCTACCCATACGGTTAAGACAAATCCCCCTAGTAAGTCCGTTCAGACGAAACAAACCCCCCGTTGGAGCATCGAGAAAATCTCCCAGCTGCAGCAGGCTGCTGCACATGTTTGTTTTTTTGTTGCCTCCATACGCACCTTACTACACTATAATAGCCTCGTCCTGCCGTCTACTCCAAGCCCTTACCCCGGGATGAGAGGTTGCGCGTGGGATCGCCAGTAAGCACCAACACCACCAACGACAACGACGACATCGACAGAACGAATAAAAAAACAATGCGAACACCCCACCAGCATCATCGACCACCACCAATAATAGGAGAAGCTCACCGCCAGGCGAAAGGGTGACTGCAGGCTGCTTTCCTGTTCTCTGTTGAGTCTGTTGAGTGACATTGCGTTCGGTCCGGTTTGTGGTTTGTCTTATTAGCGCAAGACACCGCTCTTGCTCACTTCCCTTCCGCCGTAAGGAACTCTCGTATGTAGCTGTTACCCGCCTCACTCATGTGTTTTTTTCGTACAGCACAGCGGTCGCGTCGGAAGGGTGACTGCTACCGCAACATTTCCCCACTCTGCCGTGGCGCACGTTTCGCGACAAGGGGTAATCATAACTAAGCTCTCTGAGGGCACTGGGCACAAGCGTCGCGATGATCGCGGCGTTCGCCGGGGGGGGCTTCCGTGTTCGATGGATGCTATGGATGCTCGAGTACACCTTGACCGTAGGACAAGTGCAGCCCTCACGCGTCAACAGGTCGATAGAGCACCTTCGTTTGTGCCTGTTTGACAAGCTTATTCTTGTTCACGCCTCTTTACGCGTCCGTCCTTGTTCATTTTCTACCTTTTTTCGTCTCTTTAGGCGTCCATCCTTCTTGATTTATCCCTTTTTTAGTCTCTTTTGGGCGTCCATCCTTCTTGATTTCTACCTTTTTTAGTCTTTTTTGTTGATTCTACTTCCTTTTTTCGTCTCTTTGGGCGTCCGTCCTTATTGATTTCCACTTCCTTTTTTGTCGTCGACCCGTCTTGCCGCCCGGTCTCCGCCTTCCGTATGTAACAACGTAACAGGTGCGATGTCCGATCAACATTTGCGGAGACGTGCACGGGCAATACCACGACCTGCTGAGGCTCTTCGAGATGGGCGGCTTCCCTCCCAGCGCCAACTACGTCTTCCTCGGCGACTACGTGGACCGCGCTAAGCAGAGCATCGAGACGGTCATGCTGCTGCTCTGCTACAAGCTCAAGTATGGCGTGTCTGACGACGTCGAAAGTATGCAGTACCGCAGGGGACATGACGCAAGATACCATGCACACCCCTGGGCCGATTTTCAAAGCTCGATTACGAACAAGAGGATGCATGCAGTAGTTGGAACGATATTTCGGCAAGCGAGGCGGCTTCAACGCCACCGTTTTCGGCGCTGGCAAATCCCTCTGCTCTTTGGTGAAGATGAAGTTTTTTGAAAATCGGTCCCAGGGGTGTGATATCTTACGTCTTGTCACCTCCTTCGGTTGGCTTTCTCTTTCTTTTTGGGTGGTTTTCCGGTCCGGTCCGGTTGTAAGTCGTAAGCATGTCCGTGCCGAGACACAAGGGTTTCCGAGTCGATGGCATGTCGTGTACTTCGAAAGTACGCTTGGGACCGTAACGCTCACATACGCAGCCAAAATAATGTGTGATAATTGGGTGTCGAAGGGGTTTTCGAGATCTGTGTATCGACGGGGGGTGCGTCAGCATGACGTTTTTTTTTTTTATGTGTGTCGTTCCGACGATTTTTTGTTGAGAAGCGAAGCAATGAAAGCAGAAAGGCGCCGACAACCAATAAACCCACTTTCCTGCGGCACTTTTTTCCCATGTCCGCCGAGGAGTTTTTTCTGTCGCCGCCAGCCTTGGTATCCATTTCAATTTCCGGTAATCCATTTCAATATTACCTATTTCTCTCATAACTCATGCGCACGCCCGTCTCTCCCCCCCCCCTTCCCCCCCCTTCCAATTCCTTGCCGTGGCGCAGGTATCCGGAGTCTTTTTTTCTTTTGAGGGGGAACCACGAGTGCGCTTCGCTGAACCGAATCTACGGTGTGTATGTACTTGCCTATCTATCCGTCTGTCTGCCTACGGTTGTGTGTTTAGCGCTTTTTTCGTGAGCTTGTCGTGGGCGTCCGCGCGAGCAAGTGATTGGTGCACCGCTTGCCGAACTGGCTCTCTCTAGGTACCTACAGGAGTTTGATCTCTGTACAGGTAGCTAAAGGACTTGGAACAGAGTGAGGCAGGCTGACTGAGATGTTAAAATAGGTTGAGAAGAAGTTGCCGTGAGCGATAGCGGTGCTCTGCAGCTGCGGGTTGGTAACCGCTGCTGCTGTCCCCAAGGAAATTTATTTTTATTATAGCTGTTGTTAAATGTTTTTTCTACGTTGGCCGCGCACAGGAGAAGCCAGCTAGACTTGTTGCTTGTTACACACGAGGCCAGGTATGCCTTGTAGACGAAAGAAAAGATCAGTTTGGAGCTCTTTTCCCCTCCTCCGGTCCCCGCCTAACCTCGTGGCACACCCTTCTCTCCACCTTGGGAAACCCATATTTGGGAAAACCCGTATTCACTGGTCCCTTAACAACGAACTGGCACGACGTCAAACCCATTTGCTTCGAATAGTGTACATGCGTTTTCGATTTTTTCGTTAGTCAAACACACGCACGCAAAGCGCTTGGATGGGCCATGAAGTACACTACACTAGTGATCGTGTCATGTTCCCCCACCCCCTGTATTTCTTCCCGCTTCGATTGTACCTTGTTCCTGATTGTTGGGTCGGTTTGTTGCCCCTCCTTGATTGATGGTCTGCTCTTAGCACAACCTGACTAACATTCTCTCTCTTTCTCTCTCTCTCTCTCTCTCTCTCTCTCTCTCTCTCTCTCTCTCTCTCTCTCNCTCTCTCTCTCTCTCTCTCTCTCTCTCTCTCTCTCTCTCTCTCTCTCTCTCTCTCTCTCTCTCTCTCTCTGTCTCGCGGGCGCGCTCTCTCTCTCTCTCGCGCTCTCTCGCTCTCTCGTTTTGTGTTTTTGTTACAATTCCCCCGCTTTCCGTACATGGTGCAATCGCTTTTTTTCCAAAGGGTTCTACGACGAGTGCAAGCGAAGGTATACCGTCAAGCTTTGGCGGGTTTTCTCGGACTGCTTCAATTGCATGCCGGTGAGTAGTTCTTGGAACAAGAGCCCGGAACATTGTAGTGCGTGCGTGCGTGCGTACAGAGGACACGCCTCGCTTTACGAGTAAAGATAAGTGTTCCACGAAAACAACAACAACAACAACACGCCCAAAATGTTAACGAGGCTTTAACTCCTCCCAGAACACAGCACCGTTCCCCCACCCCCTAGTGCCCCCCCCCCGCTAGGGAAGGCATTTTTGAGCCACCTTTGGCCAAGTAGAAAGGAACGATTGGCCATCGGTGATCGGTNCCCCCCCCCCCCGGTGTTGGCCATCGGGGTCGGGTTTTCGTTGCTTGCCAACGACGTTGTAGCACAAGCTGATCACTTCGTGAGCTCGACAACCAGGTTACCGCTTTTTTCTTTTTTTCGGTAACCACAACGGTGGTCGAGTAGATTAAAACAGCCGCTCCCGATGATTTAGAAACAATACTTCATTGAGAAAACAATATTTGGTCGGCGCACAACGTTTGGCCAAAACGTTTCCTCTCATCACGCGAACGTCTAACATTGAACGAAGGATATCTGGGGTTTGAGGCGCGGGGTTGAATCGTACAGCGGTCAGTGCGGCAGTGGCAGAGTAAGCAAGAAATGGCGGGGGGGTATCATCGGGGAATGGATTGAATAAGCATCGGCGGTGATGACGTAATGGAGTACGAACAATTTCAGCAGCAGCAACAGCAAGCAGCAGTGAGAAAAATGCACACTGCAGCTGCTCCTGTGAGACCAAGGGGCCATCTGCCGTAGAGCTCACCGCGTACTAGGAAAGGTCAGGAGTGGGCTTCGGTTAGTTGGGCGATTGAGCGGAAAACCCTAAAAAATGCCAGGCCCTTCGAAAATACAAATTTGACGCACATGGGCATAATAATCGTCTGCAAGGCCGGCATCGACTGAATGCTGTTGTTGGAAACTGGAAACGCGGCCTTCACACGAGGTTGACGCCGTACGTGGGGACCTGGAGCGCGAGGGTATGGCGTGTGGGTATGTGGGCCGGTGTGTGAGCCGATAAATTGTTGGCCCTGCGTGTGTCCGATTACAGGCATGGAAACGTTTTTTGAAGTTACTTGAATATACACCAGACGTTGCGGCGTACGGATCCGAATTCTGAAACGTTTTGGTGGATATGTTAATAATAGATTAGACTGCGAAAACGCTTCCGCGTTCCGATCGGAACGCCGAAACTGCATTGGCTGACTTTCACGTGTTTGAGGCTTCCGAGGAACGGACCGACGGCAGCAGACCAGCAATGATGTTTCAGAAAAAATCCAAATCTGCATTAAACCTCCGCTGGACAAATACTTCGCCGGCAATACGGTTTGGACACGAAATGGCCCCCAATACATTCCGAATCAACCCTTCGGTCGTGTCAATGGTTGTCTGAGTTCCGACCAAACCGTCGGAGGAGGAAGTTCGTAGCAAAATTTTCCTCGGCACGGATTCGTGCAGAGGTATTGTTTGCCCCTTCGAACTTGAATGTTTAGTTTCACACCTACCCACCTGACGTGGATGGAATAGCGGAGAGAGGTTGTTGCCCGCGATGACCCTTCTCGCAGTCTACCTGACCAGACACCCCATGGTCTTTACAGTAGTCCAGACATTCTAGTCTAGCCTTCTTCGGCGCCGTACCTGGCCCTGCCTCGGATTCCATGAACTGAGAAACTTCATCATCTATCTCCAGGAGCAGGAGAACTCCCTTCTACGCCGCCGCTGACAGAGCCTCCAAAAAACGTCGGCGTGCCGATTCGAGAGATGTATCCTCCGTGGTCACGGACAGGTGCTGCTTACAGCAATGTGGCAGGAAGGTTTCCGACCCTACAGAGCAGGACTACAGCTTAGAGCTGCTCAAGGCCGCGCAAGGCCGAGCGTCAGCGGTTTCAAGAGTTGGAGAGCGAAGCTGCACGGAAGAACTTTGCCATCCAAGCACAAGCACAAGCACAAGCTGTATGAAGCCGATCGGAGGTTGTGTGGAAAGTTCTTCAAGGCTGTGTTTCCTGTTTCCAAATACAGCAGCCTATGCCGGCCGTGCGGTCGCTTTGCCCACTCGGCGTGAAATTTGTTTTTTGCGCCGGGCCTGGCATTTTGGTATGTTCGCGTGAGATGAAGCGTTTCGGCCAATTGTTGTACGCCGACCAATTTTTTTGTCCTCAATATATATATATATTAATCATCGGGAGCGGCTGTTTTGTGTTATGCGAGGTCGGCAACCCTCACTCCGCGCAATGGGGATGATCTCACCACGTTGTGTTAAATTGGTCAAGCACCCTCGAGGCAGCTACACAGCACTCATAACTGTCTCTGGACGTGAAGGCACCAGAAGACAAATGAAGTCATTCGCAGCTGTCATCCATATGCAAGGAAATAAACATAGGATGCCGAACACCCTTAGCAGGATGCAGCGCACCCTCCATGCGGCTCGCCGAATATCTCCCGGCGCTTCGCGCTTGGTGATGTGAGCCTGATCCACAGTAAAAATCCGGCGTGCTCCGTCCCGGCTTTGTGGGGACGCGAGGTCAATGGTCTAACGACTTCAGCATGCACGACTATGAGTACCCCCCCCCCTCCCCCCGAGCCAGCCCCTCCTCTCCAGGGAGCGTGGTCAATGGTCTCACCGCTAAGGGCATTAAACCATACGAGTAAGAGTAGGCACCCCCTCCTAACCAAGTGAGGGACTCGCTCGCTCGGTGCCATTGTGGTGGCAAAGCAACACCCTTCGTCATTGTTGTGTCTTTTGCTCAAGTGTCAGACAATACGGGCCTCAGGTGGTCCTTGTTGTGTGTCTGTTCAACGACGATTTGCCCCGCGTTCCTGTTGGGGATACGTAAGCACGCAGTGCTTTGTGGGATACGAGTGGGCTGGAGCCCCGAGGTCGCGATGTCCGGCCTAGAAGCAGACAGCAGCATCGGCAGCTGTGTTGCAACGTCCCTCCCAAAAGCAAACAGCAACATCGATTGCTGTGTCGGCAATCAGCACCAACCAAACAACAGCGTCTTCAAGAGTAGCAACAGCAGCAGTGGATTCGTTGCTTTCAACTTCAGTTGTAAGAAAACATGAGAAAAGAACACACACACACACACACACACAAGCGGCGAAGCAACCAACCGAATCGTGATCAGGTGGCAGCAATCGTGGAGGACAAGATTCTTTGCATGCACGGCGGCATCAGCCCGGAGCTGCAGCGTCTCGGGCAGATCTTGGAGATACCCCGGCCTATCGACGTCCCGGACGAAGGGTTGCTCTGCGACTTGCTCTGGTCGGATCCCGAGGCCGGGATTTGCGGGTGCGGCAGTTTGCGGTACAGCAAGTTGATCCTTGACCATATTTTTGTTTGTTCTCTCTCTTTTTTTTCGTACTTTTCTATGATATGGGACAGATCTTGGAGATACCCCGGCCCATGGATGTCCCCCGGTATAGCACTTCCTTACATATGTATTTGTTGTATCTCTCTTTATGTCGTGAAGTACATACTCCGTTTGCACTTTTAGGTACATACCGGGGGGGATCCAGTACCTTGGACGGGATGACTAGCAGTGTGGGGTAATGAGCCGCCTTGCATGGCTCAATACCTTGCAGCAGTTGTCATCTCTTTCAATGGGCCTTTTTTATTTATCATAATCTCTCGCAATACAGCAACGGTGTGCAGGGTGTGAGTTTGAAATATGTTCGGTCACCGATAACTGGTGTTTTCCGATGGCGAGAAGTTTACTTTAATGATCCTTTCAAGAATGAGAAAAAATACTTCGTTTTTTTTTTTTTTTGTGTGTGTGTGTGTGTGTTTTTTTCTTCGTCTCGTTCTCTTGCGCAGGTGGGGGCGAAATCCGCGGGGGGTTAGCTACACGTTTGGGCATGACGTGATCGAGGAATTTTTGACGCGGCACGATCTTGACCTTATCTGCAGAGCCCATCAGGTGAGAAGAGAAGAAGAACAAAAACAAGAATAGGAACAAAAAGAACAAAAAGAAAAAAAGAACAGAAAGAACAAGAGGAAGAAAACATGACTTCTACTATAATACTACATTGTACGAGGCGCGCCTCCGGAGTGGAATCATGATAGCATTCAAGGCGTGACGCAAGATGAAAGGAACGCATGTGTTGGTGTGGACTGCCAGCTGCCATCAGTGACGTTCCCCATTCTCGAGCAGGTCACAACACCTGACGTGCGTTTGACTCGAAGAAGAGCCCAGCGGACCTCAACGAACACAAGTTATACAGTCTTTTGCTTATACCCCAAACGAGTACCATCTCGCACCTCACCGCTTTATAGTACGAAGTAGCAAAGTAGCACGTCTGCGGCTTGCCCATCCCATTTTCGCTTCTTTCTCTCTTTCCTTCACCGCCTTCTCCCCCCCCGTTTTGGTTCACTTGTTAGCGTTTTTGTCCAGAGAACGAAAAATCCTTCAAAGTAACATCGCTTGGGTTGTAAACTTAGAATAATATTAAAAATAATGAATGGTTATTTACTGAAAAATAAGGTGGTTGAGGACGGCTACCAGTTTCAGGCGAACCGGCAGCTGGTGACCCTCTTCTCCGCGCCGAACTACTGCGGGGAGTTCGACAACGCGGGCGCCATCATGTCGGTCAACGACAACCTCGTCTGCAGCTTCAGAGTGCTCCGCCCGGCCTCTCACAAGAAGTTTATGGGCTAGCCCGCCCAGCCAAAAGGGTTTGTTGTCAATATCTGTCTCTCTCTCTCTCTTTTGTGAGTGTAGGTTTTTGGAGTGGAGCGGCTTGGTGCTGTGTATTTTTTATGCATCTTTGTGCATCCCCATCATCCACCAGACCTTCGTTCACGCCGTTGTTGCTGTTGTTCTTGGTTCTACTTCTTCTTCCGGTACTCTTTTGTGCTTCTCTTTCGGGGCTGGCGGTAATGTGTGCAACTGTAGTTAGGGTCCCTGCTTTTTTTATGAACGGGGCTTATTTTAGAGCGGCCCCCTGACGATTGATTCAACAAAATGTTTTTTATTTCGCTTTTTTTATTGGCTTGGACTGGAAGTGAGGAAATGAGCGCGCGCGGGGGTGGTGGGGAAAGAAAGTTAGAGGAAAACGGCGTAGGTGTTTACGTATCTACTGGAGGGGAAGGCGCACAGCGATTTTTTGAACCATGTGCGTGCACCCACTCCGATATCGTTCCCTTTTTGGTTTGTTTTTGCTGCTTATTTCCCTGCGGGTAGCGAGGTGTGTAAGGTACGGAAGTAATTCCCGCGAATGCTTCCCGTGGTGGCGATAGATAAAAAAAAATCCAACGTGTCTAGTGTTTGTTTTCAAAAATTGAGGGGGGCGTCAACATTTATCTACTATATAGTGACTCTGTTCACGAGCTGTACGTAGGAGAGAGGCTTTGCACCTTGACAACGAACATGGCACGGTCGATGGTAGTATGCGTGCCCCCCATGGGGACTCTCCTCCCTCCCACGTCAAGTCTATAATACACCACACGTGCCTGTAGGCTCATGCGCCCCCCCCCCCAACTTCCCGTTGCAGCGTGATTCCCGAAAGAAGGGAGTTTTTGTCTTTGTTCCTATTTGGTTCTACCTAGCCCATCCATCCTTGACATGAGTGGGCGTGATAAGCTAGCGCCGACCGGAACATGCGAAGCACAAACAAGTTTGATTTTTTTCCGTAGTTCTTGCACTTCCTTGTTCGGTAGGATTGAGCACATGCCTGTTCTTTCTTTTTTTTTTCTTGTTCGCCTTGTGCTTCTTTTTTCGGCCGTGTTGTTTACCTGTTCAGTTGTGTACATTGTTTCTGTGTGAGTTTTCGTCCGCTTGGGGGGATGGGGGTTACACTAAAACAGGAGGCGGCAAGCGTGGGGTAGTCTACCGGGGGGGGGGGGGGG